TTCATTCATACTAATCTTGATATTTCTGTTACCAATCTCTACGTTTTCTCCCATACTTTTGTTAAAGAAAAGTTGGCTATAGTAATAGTAGAACAACTTGCTTGTCTGATGCTTTGGAGTCAAATGCAGTAGCCTGATGAGTGCGCTGAACTGTGGTTGCCCTGTGCTGTGGCAGGATGAGGTAATAAGAGGTGAAGCCCATTCACCTCCATGCCTATGGTCTCAAGGGTACTGCTCATTCGGGTTTGACTCATAATTGGCAGATAAAAAAATGTTATTGTAATCAGATACATTCCCCTGCAATGTTCAGGTTTCTGTCAAAACGATCCCAAAATGTAGGACTTCTTATGCTGGTTTTAGATGCCATCGATTTGAAGAGTTGTGTCTGATTTTTAGTTATAAAGTTATGCACATTAGAGAAGGGTTCATCTGTCCCTGGGCAGATGTCTCCATCTGAGCTAAGTGTCTTAAGTGGCTGTATGGAGAGTCGTTTGAGAGAAGCAGACACTTTAGATGCATGAATCATCTGATTTTAAATAGACATTGAAAATGGGCTAGATACTCTAGAAATGAAATGACTAGCTGAGAAGCATATGTAGATGTCTGAAGATGTGTGAGGTGAATCTTGCTCTTTTGCGTCCTTAGTTTTAATGTTGAAAAGTATATATAGCAAGAAACTTAGGAATCTCTGAGTTTCATCTTTTTCATATCATTAATTCTTCCTAGAATCTGCGTTTAAGTATTCTGTATCAATTGATCACATGATGCAATTGTTCTTCTGTTCCTGGCTCCTGGCATGCATTTTTCCCTCCCTCCCTTTGAAGGGATATAAGAGTTATGTGAGTAGTAGTTAGCGTTGGGCAAAATCTATCCCTCTTTTTAGAACTGTAATTTTATTTCTTATGTCTTACAAATGTCTACATAGCTGCAACCCAAAACTGATACTTAGGATTTTGTCATGTTCCTTATTCCATTTGCTATGTGACCTTGTGCAACACAAGGCACAAGCTGAGGAATCAGAATTCAGATCAGTTAGCTCTCACGTAGGAACTCGAACAGCAAAGAGGCTGCGACACTGCTCTGCAAGTACGTAAGTTATTAGTGCCGTAACTTGGAACTGTCAGGAGGAGTCTTCAGGAGTGAATCTTACATGTAATGTACTAAATGCAACAGCCTCTCTTACATCCCTCTGAGCACACTCACACACACACTGTTGTCCTACGTACTTTTTTCTTAATATTACTTTTCTTTGGTGAAGGATGAATAAGATCAGGAAGACCATTCTAATAATAAAATTCAGAAGAAAATGTTTATGCATGTGTCACTCTGTCCCACAGTCTAGACTGACTTAAGGTCTTGTTTAGTCCTAGAGGTAATTGGTAGCAGAACTCGTGCCATGAGTCAGCATTGCTTCTCATTTCTTTTAAACAAATCTAATAAAATAGTCATTTTAAAATGTAGGACTCCTAAAAGCACCTCTGAGTGTTGAACTGAGGTAGTTCATGGTCAGAATACCTGATGCAAGAGTGAAGTGGTGAAAACAGGGTATACCCGAAAAGAGGTCAAAGGATTGCTGAATGGAAAAGATTGTTCAATTTAAAATAAATCTAGGTTTAATGGAGTATGGAGTAGGAAGTCATATTTAATTTTATAAAAACTGCCCCATCTTTAATGAAATTTAAGTTGTACCTATTACAAGTGGTGGCTGCAGATGCCTGTTTTATTGTGATGAAAAAAGTATTTCCTATATGTTATTACCAATATTTTGATGAAAATGTTAAGAACTTTAGATTTTCTTATTCATTACTTTCAAGTGAATTATATTTCCTTGCAATGAAGTCCGTATTCTTTTTATTTACTCTGTCTATGTGGGCCTGAGAGCTGTCATACTCTAAATGTCACTGCTGCAGCTACAGAGGTATGAATGTAGGTATAATTTGTGGCATGGATGGAAATTAAACAGTGAACTTTTCCAGAGGAAGCACTGTAGGAAAAGACAGCTTTTTTTCATTTCCTCAAGGAGCAATAGAAGCAGAGAAAACTGCCAGTGTTACAAGCTGATCAAGGAGGATAAAGGGTTGCCAGAGTACTTCATGCTATTGCAGATTCAAAACAAATAATGTTTACTGGCTATTGTTCTACTTACATGAAACTAGAACTTACGTATTTTCATTTAGTTTTGGGTTGTTTATATTTACTGTTTTCATGCCTTTTGCCTTTTTTCAGCTAATGAACTATTGACTACAAAACTCATGACAGCGATATTATTCTGTTTCATGTCCTGAAGCCCTGTTCTTGACATTGTGCTATGAATTCTGTTTGGACTTACTAAGATGATGTGAATCTGGTAGATTTTTGTGGGAGAAAGGCAAGAAATGATTAATGTGCATATTCTAAAGTTGACATTTGTGTAGCCTTGACAGACTTCCAAAACTTATCATATTCTGCTGACTCTTAAGATCTCTTACTTCCTTTCCTACTAACAGATTAATGTGACTATTAAGGCAGTGCAACAGTAAATTCAGCAAGCATCAGAGCTGTGAAATCAAATTAATATCAATTTAGGTGTTATGACCTAAAAATAGGTACCAGTGCTCAGCAGGGTGATTCAGATGTCTGAAGTTAGGGAGATAGGTTCCCTGTATAGTCCCTAGAGAGCATTAAGCAAGCCAGAAAAACAAACCAAAAATCCTCATCACTTAGTAGAGAGGTTCTTAGATCTGGTCAGGAAGGAATGCTGAGGACTGGGAAGTTTCTGAGCTCTTGCACTTATCTGAGACATAAATACCTGGCTCAGAGCTACCTATTAAGCACCACCTTGAAGTAGAATGCGAAGTCCTTTTTTCAGGGTAAGATTTCTTGAAGGTAGAGTTTCATGCTTTTTGAGTATGGTAGTTTCTTGCCTTTGCATCTTAGTAGTTAGAAAGCTCACCTAAGAGATGGTAGACTTGGATTCTCAACTTTCTTTGATCTGGAGGGACAGAAACCCCATGACACACTTCCTGTGAGGTTACTATACCTAGCAGTGTATAATGTATTTAGAAGGACTCCCTTCATTTGAAGCTATGCAGTCTTGAATGCAGGAATTGCAGGCCAAGAGGAGAGAGAAACAAGTGGTAGTCTGATTCTGTTATTTAGTGGTTGAGCCTCTCAGCTGGGGAAGAGAGACCTGGGTTCCAGTCCTGCTCTGTGGGCAATTTCTGTATTTTGTGCAGGAACGGGCTCAGGTAAAATGCCCTTGTGTTCCAAGAAGAAATGACACAAAGAATTAGCTGCCTTGGTTGGGAGAGGTGGTAAGCCAGGCCCTGGAAAGGCCGGATGTGAAGGAAAAGTCTTCTAGAAGAGGACAGTGAAACTGGGTCTCCCACTTCCCAACTTTGTGTTTGTATTCACAGCTTATTACTAATGGGACCAGACACCAAACAACCCTACTTTATCTCCTCTCTCTTTTCCCAGCTACAATGTGGATTCCATGTTTTTTATTAAAATTGATATTATTCATGCATTTTGAGTATTCTCAGGGAATATTCATCAGGGCTTTACTGCAGGTGTTAGCCATGGAAAAAAAGGCTAAACTCACTTAGAAATGTCAGTGTTAAGTGTTTCTTGAAGAGAAGGCGTCAGGCCATATTCTGGACCTAAACCTGTCCTAAAACATAGTTCATCCTTTGTAACTGTTGGAAGATCAAAGGCACGCTCAAAAGCAGGGTCTGCAGATCTTCATTTTGCAGTTAGAAGCTTCAGCTCCATCTAATAACAATGTCAGATGCTCAAAGTTATCCCAGTAATATAGCCTATAAAACCCACTACTTTCTTTGATAACTTTTTGTGTATAAATATTTGAATATTTTGGTCTGTATTTGTAGCAAGGTCACTTTCTCCTTAGGCAATGTTAGGAAGTTATTTGTTTACTGTACTTTTTCCTAGTATGGAAAAAACGTTTCTAGAATAAAAGACAGCTGGAAAAACCTTTTTATTGAGATCAGAGAAATTAATGTTACTCTTATGGAAATGGGCTACTCCATCTGTCTTACCAGTCACTGACACACAGCACCATGTCTGGATGTGGTTGATAACATATGAGGGAAAAAAAGGAGGAATCTCTTACATTATTATGAAAAGCTTTACCTAAAAAGTAAGCTCTCAGGTAATTCATCTTTTACTATGTGTTCAAAGCATACAATGATGATGTATAAGAAGTCATGAGAATGCATGCTTTTCTTCATAAGACTGATGATCTCCAATTCCAAAACAGTTGTGCAGTGTTTTTGCCTTGAATGTGTGATCATGGTGAGATTTTGGGTGCACAGTATCTTTTAGAAACAACACTGCCCTGATTTATCTTCACCCTGCAGTACATTAAAGTTCTTATTTTTTTAAATTATTGACTCCAAGCAGCACCTATATTAATGGAAAAGGCATTGTATTGTTCCTCCATGGATAAAACCTGGGACAAAATCATCTGTGCCTTGAAATCTTGGTCGTCTTTGTCAGCAAGACTGAGGTAACATTGTTTTCTCCCCGTTCATCTGGTTGCTAGCTTATTTACCAGGATGTAATCTGTGACCAGAATTAAATATTTCAGTTTCTTGTTATTAATTTTCTTCCACAGCTTGAATCCATTTTGAGCACTCTGTGTAGTGTCCCAAAAAATTCCTCGTAGATGACTTCCTTGCAGTTATTAGTGTGTGATAGATGAAAGGAGAGCAAAGCGGAATCAAGTACAGTTTTTATGATGCAGGGACTTCTTTTCCCTCCTGCTATTGACATACAGATAAAAAGCAATTTGTAGAAACAAAATAAAAATGTCCAAAAAATGTTTTTGATTTTTCTTGTTCTTCTATATTAAAGTCTAAAAAAAATTGATACACATTGAGTAGTATTGTAAATTGGAGGGTATCTTTAGCTAATCTTGTTTTAGTTAATTTATTCAGGTTTTGATATTTTATAAGAAAACAATCCAATGTTATGTTGACACGTTGCAAAATTTTGTTTTGTAGATTGCAGTGACGATGTATTTCGTTGTAACACGGGAAAATGCCTCAATTATACCTTTGTTTGTGATGGATATGATGACTGCGGAGACCTTAGTGATGAACAAAACTGTGGTAAATGGAAGTTTTATATGTTTCTGAAGTCTTTAAGATGGTAGTGTTGCCTAGACTGGAAATCATTTTTCTTACACTGCCTAAAACAATAATGTACCTTGGTGGCGTTCTTTTTGGGCAAAGTAAAAACAATTCACACATTTTTATAAACAATTTGAAAAGGTTTAGAAAGTAGAGTTTGGAGTTTATTTAAATTTTGGAGGTAATGATGTTTTGTAGAAACAATCTGATTTGTTATTTGTTTTAGACTTAGTTAAGATGTTATAGCTGCTTTCTTGCTGACTTGGATGGATTTAACTGAGACTAAAGCAAACTAGAAGAGGCCACAAACTGGAGATGCCGACAGTTTTACGGCTAAATTGTTTTTACATAAACTTCATCAGGAATTTGCATATTTTGATCATCAAAATCTGCTGCTCCTTAGAATGCTCTTTTGATTGACTTTGAACATTCTACCTTGTTATAATTGTCTTTCTACCTGTAATTGTTCTCATGAAAAAAATGGAATTTCACCGTAAAAATAATAATCTTTACATGTCATATTTGAAAACTTTAAAAAGACATAAAACCTTATTTTTTCTAACTTTTGCTCCTAGTCCTGCGCCTGAGAAGAATTAAGTACTTACTTTAAAATAATTCTTTAAAAGTTAAAATATTATTTCTCATTTTCTTCTTTCTCTTTTCTAATGAAAAAGCACACACAATTTCAAACCAAAAGATCAAAGTATAATTTTTTTCTGAGGTTTCTATTATGTTTCTTCTCCAGATTAAAAATACTCAAAGATTTTGTTACCACTTTTCATTGGTGATGGTTGGATTTTTTTTCATAAACCTTCTGTAATGAAAGATTTTTTTAAACATTAGCCTGAATCCTACCACATCTATCTTGAGATCATTTTTCTATATAAAATATTCAGATCCAACTTTTTCTGTTTGTACGAGTTACAAATGGCTTCGTAGCAGGTTTGGCAGACTGAACTGCATGTGTGTTCCCTATCTGTTTCAGTATAAAGTCAGACAGGGTGGCTTAACTGTCTGAAGAAAACTGCGTTAGTTAACCTATTTGGTTTGGCCCTGAGTCGGATGGAGTGAATAAATCACAAACTTGAACAGCAATGTTGGACCATATTCAAAATCCTTTTCCCTACCAACTTATCTGTATTTATATTGCATTTTGAACTTGTATAATGTATGGGCAGATTGTAATGCTTGCACTGAAATACTTTGTGTGTATTGCCAGGCCATAGCATTTCCAAGGTCAAGTCCTTAGTCCTTAGGCATTACCATAAAGGCACTTTGTGTACAATTTATTAAGTAAGTGTCCATGATAAAGTGAGGACAATCATGGTGCCATACCTGAACAAATATACTAATGCAGTCCAAGTGCTACAAACTGTATTCATCAAGTTTCCAGGGAACTTGGAGTGGAGCCAGATACTTCTGCTTGTAATATGCCTTGTGAACATTTCCTTCATAAGCTATGCTAGATTTTTACCACTAAATCATAATATCTATGTCTCACCCTCCATACTTAGTGAATTAGTATGATTGCTAGTCAGTTTGGAGAGAAACTGAAACGTGTCAAACATTTTCAACTCTCCCTCCACCCCTCCGCCAAACCCCTAAGAAACAGTACACTAAAGGTAAAATGCAAATATGGTTTGATAATGGTTACTCTCTTAAGCTTGACGTACTCTAAGAGCTTTTACAACTATGTGTATTGCTTTTACTCAGCCTTCTCAACAGAATCCTTTTCTTTATTTGAGGAAGCATCCTGATAAAAAAGACTAAAATAAAGATTAGACTAGCTTCTTCTTAGATCTTTCTTATGAAAAATTCTGTCTACGTGCAAAAACCTCACAGTTTCTGACTAAATGTAGCAAATATGGTGGTTGAAAAACAATTTCTTTACTTCTTAGTAAAAGGTAATTGTAAGGAATGATTTTCTCTGATGGTAATTGGAAAAGTTGGCTTATTGAAAATCTTCCCTTGAGATGGGAAGCCAGAAGATCTTTTAAGCTACTTAATAAATGTTAAAATTTTGCTTATTTACAAATGGAAATAGCTGTTCACCGGAGAGATTAAATGGACACAACATTATCTAAACAGGCAGTAGTATTCAGAACATATGTAACTGCCATCTGCAAAAAAATTTGCAAATGCAGAAAAAATCTTACTGGAATTTACTAAGGCACAATTTTCTAAGACACAGGAGTTAGCAAAAATGATCAGCTTATAGGCTTGGAACAATTGAGCAAACATAGAAATTATGCAATTGCTAATATATCATTCCTTTTTTTTGGCCTTATTTTTACATTGTGTTCAGATTGTAACCCAGTGATGCATCATCAGTGTGGAGATGGAAGATGTATAACAGCTGATTGGGTATGTGATGGTGACCATGACTGTATAGACAAGTCAGATGAAATCAACTGCTGTAAGTTTCCTTAAATCTCTAGATAAGTTTTCTTTTTCTTTCATTAAAAAGCAAACCCTAAATGTTATATAATAAGTATACTTGGAAAGAAAAAAACACAAGCTTATTTGATTTCAGAAGGCTGTAACTGGCAAATGTCCTTTCTGGTAGACAGTTGCAACAAATATCATTAAACATTTCTTATGATTGCGAAAAGGTATCAGTATTGCTCTATGTTTTAGCTTTTTGTTAATTGCAGTGTTCCAGTCCTCTTTAAGTTGTATGGCATTCTGAGTTCGTGATGACTTTCTGGTGTCTGTGTTTGACCTATCACACCTTGTCATGGTTTGAACTTCTGTATTCCCAGCGATGATGATGACGATGACGACGATGACAAAGATATACACAAAACTATACCAGAAGAATGTAGAGGTTGCCATATCAAATAATGGGGAATTAGCAAATGTTTTAAAATGATTAAGGTTATCATAACCCATATGCTCATGCAGCTTTGGTTCTAGTATCTTGCTGCCTTTTGGTGCTTGACCATGCAACCACTGTCCTGCAGTTTTCCCTGAAATCTAAGAACCTAATCCAAACAAGGGGATGTAAATAAGTGAGCTGAGAAAAGGTGACGGAATCTTTGTATGAGTAAAAATTATGGGTGTTTTTCCCTTGGAAACAACTGAACTTTGAATTCAACCTGTTGCAAACACCTGGCATATAAAGTTTACGTCCCTAAAAATCAGCACAGTTGTAGGCTATTGAAAACACAGCTATTATAATGGAAAATGTCTAGTGACTTCAGTGAAAAGCAGTGTTATCAGAGCCTCCTGAAATAACTTCGGTATGATGTCCAAAAATAACTGAGACCTTCATTAACCTAAGCTAATCAGAATGTTGTCTTTTTTCTCCAGCATGTCATAGTCAGGGTCTAGTGGAGTGCAAAAATGGGCAGTGCATTCCCAGTGCGTTCCAGTGTGATGGAGATAATGACTGTAAAGATGGAAGTGATGAAGAAAACTGCAATGAAAGTAAGGATATACACAACTTTACTTTTCTTATTGAACCTACCAGTGGCTGCCATATTCTGAAGTGCCTTTAGCTAAAAGTATCTGTCAAATGAACCTACTTTGCCTTTCAGGTAACACTTACTAAGGTTGTCTAATCTCCGCTTTCACAAAGGAATTTGTAAGCAGAATTGTATTACCTGCTTTCACACAGAGACTTGTAAGCATAATTGTATTAGTCCTTAAAAATCTAAAAAGCTGAAGAAGTGGAGGTGATATATTTAGCATAGCATTTGATTAACTGACTTGATCAGCTGTTACTTGAAATAAAAAAATACATATTCACATTGTCTACAGCAGTTAGAAGCTA